TTTGACTAGTGTATCAGGATTCTGCAGTTGTTTCTGGGGTGAAATTCCAAAACACAGAAGGAGACCACTGCCCTAGGCACTTGCCCATACTCTCCCATGCACCCTGCCACTCTTAACTATCCAGCCGTGGGGTAGATCTCCAAGTGGTATTCTTGAAAAAAAATTGTGTGACCCTAAACAAGATCTGGGACACATTTAGAAGACATAGCAACAGCATGCTGGCTTAGGCACCCCAAAAATATTCAAAAATCCCATAAGCTAAGAGAGCTTCCTTCCCTGCCTTGCCCATGGAATACAGAGATGACTGTTAACAAACGGTAACACCACATACACGTGCCAGCTTAGCTTCATGACTAGTGGTACAATTATATCCCAGGCTGATAATATCCAGTAAAGCAACACAATAGTTCTTATCTGTTTCCCAGAGACGATAAACATTATAGGGAACACAGAGTACACAGGGGTTTACAGAACACCACCATACAAACAAACTGGCCAATATTATGAACATGGTCTATTTAACTAATACAAAAAGTGTGTACAACAAAATTGTTTTAACATACGTTGGTCAGGTTTTCTCATTATCTCAACTTCCCACACTGGGTACCAAAAAAGGTATTGTCAAGCTTTAACCTCAGCCAGCAGCTAAACACCAGCAGCTGCTGCCCATTGGTTCCTGCCTGAGGAAGGACAACTGGGATGAAAAGAAACAAAAAGAATAAAAAAAGAAGTGAGACAAGGACAGTTTAATAGAACACAACAAAGAGAGAAGAAACAACAGTAATAACAATAATACTAACGAAATAATACATAAAGCATGTGATAACAAACTGTGTACCTGAAACGAAGCCCTCCCTCCTCCAGCTGCATGCTGAGGACACAGATTGAGCCCAAGTCAGGTCAGCCCCTCTCTTTCTATAGAGGGCATGACCAGTGTGGTATCGAATGGCCCATAGGCTGGTTCTGTTGTTTATCCTGGCTGTGGTCCCGCCCAGCTGCAGCCCCTTGTGAGCATTAACCCTATCCTGGCTGAACCCGGGAGATGGGGTTTGTCGTGACATTCTGCCTGGATCATGTAGGATGTGGGTGCCACGATCCTGTTGGAAGTGGCTGCAGCAAAGGAGTGGCAGTACGATTCTCAGTGCTGATACCTGCAGCCTGGAGAAGTCGTGGTGGGTGGTAAGGGGAGCTTCAGTGGATGGTAGGTACCAGCTACCACAGAGTGCTCAGTGATGCTTGGCCTGGAGAAGATTTGTGCTTTGCTTATTAGGAACCATTGCTCTGAGCTGCCTTTGAACCAAAGTGCAAGTGGAGCTGAAGAAATGCTGCTTTACTTGGAGTACTTCCAGTGCAAAATCCATGAGGGATGGCTGTTACGTGGCCAGGGTTCCTGATGCTTGCCTGCTTTAGAAGGGGATAGGCTTCATGGGCCTGAACAACTCCCTGGTACTTCCTGCTTTAGGCTTAGTCATGAATTCATCTCTCCTTGAAAAAATCCTAGTAATTGGGGGAAACATGCTCCCTCCTTGAAAGTAGCCCAATAGTGCAGGGAGCAAACATCTCAGAGACTGATCAGACTTTTCACTGAAGACAGAGAGTGGGGCCTGTGCAAACCAAGCAATGAAATAGTTCATAAATCAGCTTTACATTCTTCTAGCTCGTTTATTTCTGTAAATGCACAGAAGAGTTTGACACTCGGTGAAGCTGTGTCCAAGATGGGAGCATCATTTAACAAAGGGTCATTTCAGAAAGTACCACACACAGTGAGGAAACTGCAGTTTAGTTCCAGATAAGAATAGATAGTTCAAATTTGCAACCAATGAAACATTAATTTCTAACACCCAGCTCAGTTTTTCTAGAAATGCTATTTGTGAAGTACAAAACCGTAAAGGTTTTCTATACCAGTAGTCTCATTAAAAATACCATTTTATACTGACAGCTTTCTGTAGTCGTTGCAAAGTCCCAGAAGATGTTTTTAATAGAAGCTTTCCTTCACCATGTAGCCTTTGCGTCGTATCAGCTGTCAGAAGATGACTAAGACCCTTTTGTAAAACAGACGTGCCGAATTTTAAACAAACCCACAGCTCAGCAATGCAAGACAACACACTTACTGTTTCTGAGGAGAGAAATTATTTTAAATCAGCTTCCTTGTTCCTTCCTAGACTCAACTGCTGTTGACTGAAGCATACTGTACCAGAAACGATAATAGGCACCATAAGTTAAGGATATAAAGTTATGTTTTGATATAATTGTAAACATAATTTTTGGTATTTTTTTTCTTTAATGAATTTTAAAGCCAGCTTTGCTCAGGATCAGTTCAGGACCATGTTATATGAGTGCATGAACATTCTGTGATTAGTACGATATTATCAGTTTCTGTTTTGTAGAGCTCCTGTCAGTCTTGTGTCTTGGTTTTTTTTGGTTTTGTTTTGTTTTGTTTTGTTTTGTTTTGTTTTGTTTTTTTCAAATATGTGCTTCCAGGGGACTAGAGCAGCACTATTCCCTCAACACAGCTTGTTCTTTAGGTATGTGGCTGAGCCCACACAGCCAGGGCGAGGGCCAGCATCGTTAAATACCCTCGTAAAATGTCTACACAGTGCCTGGTGACTATATCAGCAGCTGTTGTTTAGAAAGAAGAAATGGCCTGGGGCTCTACCTGTATTACTGGAAGGTGGGCAGCCTTTCCTCCATCTTCTCTAGCTGTCTTGCTAGGATTACATGTAGAACAAGGGATCTGAGTTGGCCCTCAGCTGCAAAAATAATTCTTCTAATCAATACCACTACAAACTGGCAGGTGAAAACACATAATACTTCCTAACCAGGAAACTTTTCAGGACATTTGAAAAAATGATAGGACAGACTCAGGTGAATTTACTTGCACACATAATGTTCACATTCAACTTAGAAGGAGCTGGGAACAAGTCTTGGTACAGTTTCCAAGCCTCTAAAATGTGGTGCACAGTTGCAGCCACCATGGCAGTGTTTTTTTCTTTCCAATGGCATCAACACAATATTCAAGATGATAAAGTCCTGCTGAGGCACAGAAATACGAGTTGTTCGACTATTCTGCATTTTAGTGGCACTTTCTGAGATAAATACTGAGGATATAAAGAGCATTCAGACAAGCTGTAGAACAGTCTGTACAAAAGCATATGGATGAAAGGAACAGGCTTGATTAACCAAGTATTTGGTTAAAAATGAACCACAGAACAACCTGCTAATTCATATAAGGAAGAAAAACAGTAGAAAACTTTTGAAGGGACAAACAAACTATTGGTAGCTGATTTCAGACCGGAATGATATTGATGCTCATTCAGGTAGGTAAGAAGTTTTTAGGCAAGGCCCATACAAATTTTACTAGTTACATGTATAAGCTGTACAGTAAATCAGCTGCCAGCACACTATTTCAAGAGGGAAAAGCTATGACTAATGTGTAGAACCCAGGGTATATACAGTGTGTTGCTTTTCAAACAAATAACAATCAGTAATTCATGTAAGCAGTGTGTCTATAACAGCATTTCTGTTTAGCATGACAGAAATGCTCCATGCAAAACAGGAACAACTTCAAGACTGCCAGGTCAATCCTTCACGACTACTACCTGTACAGTTCTAGTTTAAAAAAAAAATCCTATGAAAAGGAAAGACAAAATCTTCCAGGAGCAAGAACATAGTAATTTGATCAGTGTTAAGGCAGCCTGTGGGAAGAAGGCAGCAAAAGGTGCTTGCTGGAGAGAAACTAGGAAACTAGCTAGGGATCAGTGAGCAGATGGCTCAGCAATCCTTGCAGTGAAGCTGAGCAGTCAGTTTCTTCCTCCTGCTACCTTGATGCTTCTTTGTGCATACCACCAAGAGATGTTGTGCCTAAGGAAACCTTGAGCAAAGTATGTCAGCAGGCAGGTCAACACTTGCAAAGAAACATAAGGTGCTTCCTTATTTCTATGGTGCCATAAGAATTTTTGCTATTTTTAAAAAGTTTTTTTAAGAAAGGAAGAAAAAAGGACGCTGAGACTGAGATCATCTCCTGTTATGGTTTTGTTGTACAGCCAACCAGTTTTTGGTGCCCACTGAATGAAATGTTTGGTGTCTTTCTGGTCAATTGATCACTGCTGTGATGCCCCACTGGCTGTACTGTGATTGAAGGGCTTTGTAGAGGAGTAGGAAAGAACATGAAGGAGGGAATGTGAAGAATGGAAGTGTACTGCTGCTTTGGCTGCGAAGATGCATGTGCATAGTTATACAGCTGGAAGGGATTCACGGTGCTCCTGCAGCTGGCGATCAGACAAGTTCCTTCCTGAGTGTAGTGAGGCACCCAGGACATGACCTACTCCAGGGTCACATGAGGAATCAAGAGCTGCTGGGGCTGACGGTCCTGGATCCCACTCCTTTGCTATGTGCTTTAGTGCACATAGTGCTATTAATTTCCTTGAGTCAATGAGACAGACAAATTTCCTCCAGACCTCCTTCTTTCTTTACATTTATATTTTCTTTTTCTCTTCCATTCCAGCAGCAGTTCAGTAGCCAGCAGAATGACTGTGACTTCATTTCTTTGGTCTTAGCTACTGGAACTTAACTGGTAAGAAGGGGAACTCTTCATTCCCCTTCAGTCATGTTGATGCAGTGTGCCAAGCGCAAATTGTTAACCTAAGTGTATTTCAAACCACTTCAAAAGCATGAAGAAGGTGCAACTCCTTCTACTTTACAGACACAGGGAGAAATTAAGCATGATTCAGGAGACTCAGCTTTGATTTTTGAGCAGAGTTCATGATAAAATCCAATGCACTGGATCCCAGGTCTTCTGCTCTAACTGTGGTGCCTCTTGGGCTTTTTCTAGAGTGGGGACTTATAAGTGCATGAGAAGGATGTCTGAGATAATTAATTGTAATTAAATTACATTATAGATCACAAATACACTTAACCATTTATTGAACTTGAGCATGAAGAAAGCATTCTCAAAGGTGAGTGAAAGGAAGTGTAATGTAGAAAAACAAGTGAAAGTGAGATGTTCACAGCAATTTGAAAACCACCAAAAAAACACTGTGGAGCCCATGTCTCATTTTAAAAAATGACTGGAGGCTCTCCCACAGGAGGGCAGTGAGGTAGCATCTACTGACCATCAGTGGGATAGGCTCCTACCTGTATTTGGGGTTTTGAAAAATAATTATACCCAGTGAGTTATTGAACAAGGGATCCCATCCCAGAAATTTTCAGGAGTTACATTTTCTTTTAGCGAGATTCCAGCATAATGTAGACTCCATTTTTTGGTCCAAGTGTGGCTTTTGATTTCAGCTGCAAAGGAATCTGAAAGAAAAAAAGAACATCTTATGGATAGCTGTATGTATTTGTTTATGTCTGTATAACACCCTCACAGCCAAACATTTTTGCTGGGGGACCAACTCATACCGAGATTACTGTAGAAGCAACAAAGTACTTGTTTTATAGTTGGCTGTGGTAATATAATATTAAATAGAATTTACAGCCAGAGGCTGAGACATTTGTTGCCCAGGTATACTATAGATCAGAATAGAAAGAAATTTAACTCTGCAGACTCTAAAGCTGCTGTGTAAGTGCCACTTGTAATGCACGTAGCAATAGGCATATGCTGAGATCCCATGAAAGATGTACACCCACTCTCACCCTATATACATCATGGTATTTTGATTGTGGTGTTGCTACAATGTTCTCTGTGAGGGCAGGGTTGTGTAATTGTTTATTTTCTTGGAAAAATCCTGAAGTTTAAATCACACTTGGATTAAAACATGAAATCCAGGCCTCCTATCCCTTCTTATTGCTGCAGTGGCTCTAGCAATGTTCTCTAAGAGAAAGTCACAAAGGCAAGTCAGTTGTCCTGTGTAGGACACACTGTCAACTCCACAAAGTTGACAAGTGTGGACTTTAAGTGTACAAACCTCAGTCTCTGGGCATGCCTTAAATTTAAACTTCTGCAAAATCCTCAGCAGGGTAATTTTTGTCTCCAGCAAACCCATTTTCATGCCAATGCAGCCACGGGGTCCTGCCCCAAAGGGCAAGTACGCAAAGGGATGTCGTTCCTTCTTGGCCTCCTCTGTAAACCTAGAAGGTGCAGAGATGGAAACCGGTTCAAGAAATGGTTTTTGCTTCTGATTCCATGTTCTTCATTTACATCTCAAAAGGTGGTTATTTCAGTTAGTCTTCATGGACAGGTCAAGGCTGACACCCTTAAGTAAACAGATAATTGAGTTAGAACCATTAGCCTTTGTCAGCTGGTCCTTCCAGGAGAGGACAGACAGACATTAGTATTACTGCCACACGATCTTTAATGAATTGCCTCCATTTGATGACTGTGCTCAGAAGAGTGATAACTTCAGGTGCAGACATGCTAGCTGTGTTAGACCTTTGCTTGTATGAGGGAGAGATTACAGCTAAGAGGAAACTAGCAGGCTGCGGTGTGAACTAACTGCAATTAGCAACAGTGCTTCCCTGCTGTGGACCGCAAATGCAGATCAACTGGAATTTCTCTTTGAACCTTGCAAGAGGAAATGAAATCTCACGGGATTGGACAGGCCCTGAAAGAGAGTTATTACAATTCCATACAGCCCTTCTTTCTGCACTTAGACCAAAGAAACCAGGTTCCCAGTTGGGAAACAGTGAAGCTGCAGACAGTTCTGTTCTTAGAGCTGAAGTACCTCAGACCATTAGAAAGACTGATTAATGTGGCAGTTTGTATGCAGATCTATATCGACCAGCTAGCTTTAAATACTTGATCGACCCATGAGAAATAAGCCTTTTTCATTTTTTTATTCTTTTTTTTTTTTTCCACAAGGAAGGAAAGAAAATTCCCATTTGAACAGCAGTCCAAAGGAAAAAAAGTAAAATGTTTACCAACATGTGCTGGTTTTGGCCGAGATAGAGTTAATTTTTCTCAAAGTAGCCAGTATGGGGCTATGTTTTGGATTTGTGATGAAGACAGTGTTGATAACACAGGGAGGTTTCTGTTACTGGTGAGCAGTGCTCACATGGAGTCAAGGCCTTTTCTGCTTCTCACACCACCCCTCCAGTGAGTAGGCTGGGGGTGCACAAGATGTTTGGAGAGGACAGAGCTGGGAGAGCTGACCTCAACTGACCAAAGGGATATTCCAGACCATAGGACACCATGCTCAGCATGTAAAGCTGGATGAAGAAGGAGGAAAGGTTGGACATTCAGAGAGATGCCATTTGTCTTCTCAAGTATCTGTTACGCAGGATGGAGCCCACCTTTCCTGGGGATGGCTGAACACCTGCCTGCCGATGGGAAGTACTGAATGAATTCCTTGTTTTCCTTTGCTTGTGCTCACAGCTTTTGCTTTACATTGTCTCTATCCTAACCCATGAGTTTTCTCACTTTTACCATTCTGATTCTCCCTCCCATCCCACCACGGGAAGTGAGCGAGCGGCTGTGTGGGCCTAGTTGCTGGCTAGGGTTAAACCATGACAGTCCTTTTTGGCACCCAACGTGGGGCTCAAAAGGTTCGAGATAACGACAGGTTTGATTGGAACATGCCAGACTGAATTTCCAGCTGTTACTCCTGCTTAACTATTAGTTGGCAGGCTCCTGTGCTTGCTATGGGGCTTGTTTGCCTTACTGTACAGTAAAGTCTAGCACCCGTTAGTGGCTGCTTTATGCTTCCACTGCTTGCTGTACTGCTTAGCATCTTACTTGGCTGTGCCTGGAAACGTTTTGATAAGAGCAATGGCCGTGTGCCCGGACTGGCAGATGGCCAGGGCAGCACTGCTCTTTCTGTACTGGATAGGCTGGAACTCACGTGTGAACTTGTGTAGAAGGGATTGTAACCTGTGAATGAATCCATGTGGGAGCAGGACACCCCAAAGCATCTGTGGCTGTGGGTAAGCCCATGCTGCAGCAGGTACACCTTGAAGCATCAGTGGCTGTGCATGAGGGCATGCTGAGGCACCTAAAAGTATGTGGCCATGGACAGGCCCACAACAGAGCAGATACACTCCTGGAAGGACTGCAGCCATGGGTAAGGCCATACTGGACCCAGTTTACCTCTGAAGGCACTGTGGGCCATGGATAAGGCCATATGGGAACAGATGCACTTCAAAGCAGCTGTGGCTGTGGATAAGTCTATGTCACAGCGGATACATCCTTGAAGAGACTGTGGATACGGGTAAGGTTCGACCTGGAGCAGATACAACCCTAAGGGCCTGTAGTCTGTGGATGAGTTTCAGATGGAGCAGGGGGGAGGGGAGAAGTTCGTCGCAACGTTAAACCCAATGGTCTAGTCCAAAGGGACAAGGGGTGGAAACTGTAATGGAAATACCTTTAAATGATTGTAACCCATGATTTGAGCTGCATGTTATATGCATTACGATAGCAGGAGCCACCCGAACCAGTGAAGGACAAGTCTAACAGGAAGGAGTGAAAGCACAGCAGTAACTTGATGTGAGCTGGCTTTGGAGCCAGTAACTCCACACAACACACCACCTCTCCTGTCCTGGGTGACCACCAGAACAGATGGAGCCCAAAGTCATAGACTAAATTAACTCAGTGGATATTTTGTGGATATTTTACAGACATTTCAGAGAGGTGGTCCATAAAGTAAGGGAATGGTATCTGTGTATTGTATCAAACGATGGGAAGGGGACAGAGTGGTTAGTAAGGATGCATTGGATAGTGTGGGATGGGAGTATGACATAAATGGTATGGAATAAGGGGTGGAGAATGTGCTGGCTTTGGCTGGGATAGAATTAATTCTCTTCACAGTGGCCACTATGGGTCTATGTCTTGGATTTGTGCTGAAAACAGAGTTGATGATATAGGGAAATTTACATTACTGGTGAGCAGTGCTCACATGGAGTCAAGGCCTTTTCTGATCCTCTCACGACCCCTCCAGTGAGTAGGCTGGGGCTGCACAAGAAGTTCAGAGGAGGGACACCTGGGAGAGCTGACCCCAACTGACCAAAGGTATATTCCAGATGATATAACACCGTGAGCTAGGGGATGAAGAGGGAAGGGGGGATGTTTGGAGAGAAGGCATTTGTCTTCCCAAGTAACAGTCACACATTACTGCTTTCCTGTAGGTGGCTGGATGCCTGCCTGCCAATGGGAAGTAATGAATTAATTCCTTGCTTTGCTTTGCTTGTGCATGTGGCTTTTGCTTTGCCTATTAAACTGCCTTTAACTCAACCTCACTTTTTTGAAAGTTTTTTTTTTTTTTAAAGTTCTCTTACTTTTACTGTTCCGATTCTCTCCCCCATCCCACCATGGGGGAACAAGTGAGCAGCTGTGTGGGGTTTAGCTGCCAGCTGTGGTTAAACCACAACACATCTGCAAAGATGGCTGTATGCTGGACAGGATATGTACAGAGAAGAGTGCAGAGTCTAAGCCAGTACAGGTTATTAGGGCCAATGCATAATCAACAAGGTGAGGCTCGTTCTGGCCTGTGCTGAGTCACTGGTCAGAGTGGTTCCTTAAAGCAAGCAAACCTTTGCAGTGATAACATTACCCTGGAAATCTACATAGTCCTCCCATGTTATAAGGTATTTGGAGCTGTTCTGGCAGTACAGAACTACTTTTCTACTTCTGTATGTAGATAAAGTTTCTGTCCTGCATATATAGGGTCATCTCTGAAAATCTTTCATCTCTTTAGATAGTTTGCAAGAACTTTAGATTGGTAAGGCCTGGAGAACTCGTGCAGGGTAGAAAGAGATGAGAGGTAATACAGGCTATTTTGAGGTTTGGAAAACCCCCCCAATATTGTGTATTTCTGCTAGCCCCATCCCCATTGCTTAAATATCCTAAACAAGATTGGGATACTACTGCAGAAAATACTATAGAAGCCTGTCATTTGGGATTAAAGGACTATTAACTCATGTACTGAGCACTGCTGCAGATCCCATCCAAAGAGGTTAATTCTTGCCTTGCTCCCTGCTCCCCTCCCCCCCGCCCCCATATCACTTCGGTAAATTTAAAGTCTCCCTTATATTGTTCCTGAGGCAGATTTCAAAACAAAATATTAGGGAGGAAAAAAGGCTGTAGCTGAATTAATTTATTTTTTGTTAGGCTCTTACTACTCTTACTAACATGACAAACTGATACAAGCTGGGGAGAGTGTCAGTAATTATGCTTCATTCCTCAGGGAAATTTCAAAAGGGAATTCATCTCAGATTCATAACAAACAGCACTGTATGAGTCAAGCAGACAGCAGCCCCCACTATCCATTTTACACTGTAATGTGCTTTCATACTACTGTTAAAGCAGCGAATAAACAATTAAGACAGCATTTCTAGATAAGCATTGCTAAAAAAAACCCCCAGACTTACAGTTATTGCTAAGATTCATCCCCAACAAAAAGCTCTGGGCTTCTCTAACCCTGACATTGCTCTTCTTCAGGGCCTAAGTTGCCTAATAGAGCATATGTCAAGAGTTGCTCCAAAAGGACTTGTTTGTGGAGCATGCACTTTTTTTCTCTGTAGGCTTTTCAATGTAGTCGGGGCTTAAAATGTAGCTGTCCACAGAACAGCTTAACATATAGCTTCCCACAACTAAACTGCGCTTCCACACAGCACCACATCAACTGAAACTGCCCCTGTAGCTCAACTGAGCACCTGTAAGATAGGGCAAGGTACAAAACCACAACCTGACAGTGGCACTTCCTCATTGAAGAAAATAAATGCAATGTGAATGTCTTGCCAAGCAGGGCTAAGAACCCAGGATCCTAACTTATGGACAGAGAAAATTCCCAGCAGGAGATGGGATAGGTTCCCCACTCACAGCCTTTCCACATCATTACAAGATCTCGGGTGAAAAGGCTTCTCTGAACCAGGCAGGCGCTGGACAAGTTTCCTGGGTACCTCCATGCCAGGGAATATACCATCTCACTTCATTATTTCTGCATCCAGAGGCAACCCTATTTGCAACATTTGATTTGGAAAGAGGTCTGAAAACCTGTGCCACATTTCAACCCTGACCAAATCTTGCACACTCTGTGGGATGTGCCACTATCACGACTTGTCTAATTTGGTAGAAATAACATATTTGTATGATCTAAATTAAATTGTGATCCTCTTGGAGGAAATACTGCTTCAGGTGAATAGAGGGTGATTGTGGCTGGAAGAAGCAGCAGGATATGGCATCTCCACTGGACAGGCTGGAGTCCTGTGCCCACTCTAATGCGCAAAACAGGCCAAAATAAGGACTTAAACCTAAGCATGGAAAGCATTACTCCACATACCTCTCAGGAATAAACTTCTCAGGCTCTGGCCAGAAGTCAGGGTTGTGGTGGAGATGTCCAACTGCAGTTTCAATGACAGCCCCAGCTGGAATACGCTGCCCCAGCACTACACAGTCTTTAGCTGCTTCCCGAGTGAACCTGCAACAGTAAGTGTCATGTATCCCAGATGATTAATAAAGGTAAAAACACAGCAGGAGGGAAACATGAAAGTCAATCTCTTCAACTGGACTGACCCTGCGATTTCGGGAATAGCTCTTTCCCAGTAGATAAATACAGCAACCATTGCTGATGCTAGTGTCTTCTCATGTTACAATCATCTCCACCTAGAAGCACACGGCTCCAACCCAGCTGGCTAACCTTGCCCTTTCCACAGTAAAGCATTTCTGGTTGCTTATGGTTTTCCAGAACATTAGCTGTTGAACTGCAGTTTTGCTGCTAATGTTTAGTTTAAACTCTTTTTTTTTTAATGAAAACTGTAGATGAAATGTATCAGCCATCTCTAATAACAGGCAGAAAGAGTATGCTAGTTGGCTTTCAGAAAAACAAAACAAAACAAAACAAAACAAAACAAAACAAACAACCCAGCGACTACAGTTTTGGGTTTGGTTGTTTGAGAAGCTTCCTCATGTTGGGACAGCACCTGGAAATTAGCAAGGGATAGTTTTAATATTGAGGCTAAGTGTTCTGCAGCTGTTACAAAAAAACCATCACTTCACAAGCCTTGGAAAAATGCATTTCACATATACTCATCAAAGTTAGGCATGACGTTAGCAACACAACTCTCCAGTTTCCTCCCACTCTGTGGTGACAGGTGACAGAGTAGGATTGTCCTTAGGAACCCCATTGTAGCAAGAAGACTGAGAGAAGCCACCTGCTGAAGCTTGAGCTTGGGTCTGTAAACCTTGTAAAATATGGTGTGTGGGTGTGCGTGTGTAGTGGTAGAGCTTGAGCCAGATCTTTCAGTGCTTGGGTGGTCACTACAGACCCCAAACCACCCCAGACCCAGGTGGGTGCCCTGGTCTCTCAGCCTGCGATCTATTCCCTGGCATCAGCTGGGAACACAGGGGCGAGATGACTTACAGGAGCTCCCTTTGCTGGTCCCTATGCTGTGCCTACAAAGTTGAGCAAACATTTCGGTTTCAGGGCTGTCAGTCTGGTATCATTACAGGAGCAGATTCTTTCCTCACTGTCACCCTTCTCTTTCTCTTAGACAAATAAACAACAGTGGCTCCAAACACAGAACAGAACACTGGCATGCTAAAAAACACATTGACAAGCCATCCTTCTCATCCTTACATGAATTTGGTGATAGAGGAAACATGAGTTCTGGGGAAGAAAATTGTCTTTCTATCAGATTTGTGTGTGTTTGTTTTTTTTAAAAAATAACAAACCCACAACTAATTTTAAAACAAGTTTGGCTTGGCTGCTACTGAATTTTCCCCTAACTCAGCACTACCTTTGTCACAGAGAATTAGCAACTTTCTGAGGCATTGGGCTGTCCTATCCATTCCACATCCATCAGAGTAAAAGCCAGATCAATAAACACCACCGACAATGCCAACTGAAACTTCAGAACAACTTTGCTCCATTCTCATTCTGTTTCCCATTTGACAAACATTGATTGTTTCCCAGTGCTTCAGCTGAAACTCAAAGATCCTTGATGCTTTGACTGGCAAAACAATTTCCATTTGTATACCATGTATGACATTGTAAAGCTCAGTCATCTCATCCAGGAGCAAGTATCTGACATTTACTTTATGAATAATCCTGCAGATGTCCATGGAAAAATCTTGAATTTCAATCTTTGTGAACATATAAAAGAGAATAGGATTTAAAACTTTTTATTTTAAGGTTCTTGCAATCACAGGGTAAATTTTTCACAGGCTCTCCCAGCAAGCTCAGCTTTGCCTCCTTTCCAGTCACGTGAAGTTTTTCCTTGGCTTCACAAGAAGTAGTGCAACTAGCTGACCACTTTGAAAAATTTCATTCTTAACATTTGCACCTATGCTTGTGATAACTTGGCAACTCGACAAGTTATCACAACTTCTCTAATGACTTGGCAATTCGACAAGTTATCAGACACTTCTCTAGTGTCTTTTCCCCTTGTTTTCAGTTCATCAATACAGCTGAGTAAAATCAACCTTGTGTAAACTTGGGCAAAACTTTCAAAATTTAATGGATGTAGCCATTCCCTTAACAATATTAGTAATAAGTACAAAATAGTAGGAGTTCTAGTTAAACACACATGTAAAATACAATTTCTGAATGTGGAACCCTTCCACAAATCAAGGTCTTAATCACTAAGTGGTCTCTGCTTCATATCCCTAAAGCCCAAGGCACAGAGAGCAGCAGCATCTCGCTTTCTAAGGCCAGTCCTGCTGCAAATAGGCTCCATCTTCTAACCTTGGGGGATGTGAAGAACGAAGAGGAAGCAATCTTGGCCAACCTGTTGTAAAAAAATTCTTTAGAAATACCAGTATTAGCCAGTTTCCCCTCAATAGGCCACATTATATCTTTCAAATGCACAAGGAGTATTGATGTTGGCACAGAGACCAAGGGCACATTGGTCTCCCAATAGTAGATTTCCATTTTATAGAGCTAGGGGGTCTACCCTGTGGAACGAAAAGGGAAGAAAAAACAGATACCTGAATGCAGGTGGGTACATGCGCAGTGTCTCCGCAATCACCATGTCCAGATAAGGGAGTTCTTGTACATTTTGGTAATCAGGGACCATCTGAAAAGGCAGGAAGAAAGGAACAATTAAATTTTCACACATTTCAGTGCCAAAATCATCTCAGATTAGCTTTTAGATTATCTATTTTTTACTGGGCATTTTTCCTGTAGAAGAACTCTATGTCTCATCCAAAACAGTAAATGATAAAATTATACAAGAATGTGGGCAGTAATTAAATGTGGGTATAACATTCCTTTCATCCTCAAAACACTTTGGTGTGCAGCCCAGCTGAAGATATAATAATAAATCAGCTTGCTAGGAAGTATTAAAAACAGGGCATTACAGAGAGCATTAATAGCTACAACAGAGCTATTGTTTTATACATGCACCAAAATCTACACAGGACTGTTGTTTCTTCTGAAAGACAAGAGAGTTGCAGACCAGGAGCACTTTGTTCACAAGAAACAGCAAGTCCTTCAGTTACTCTTGTTGATAGTGTAGCAAACCCTTTGCCCTTTCAGTTACAGAAATAAAGATAAGTACTGGTGCCTGTGGAAGGGTGGGAGATGGCAGTGGAGGATACTGGCACCCCAATGAAGAACAGCACGCAGTGAGGAGTTGCTCTGCAGAGTAGAGGGGGCTGAGATACAGCTCAAATCCCACCTGGAGGATTGCAAGGGTGGCCAAGAAGTCTTTTTCCTCCCATGACCATCACTTGTGTAATGCTGCTTAATTTTCCATAGTGTGAACTGCCTAACCCCACTTTTTCATAGTCTACAAAACTAGTCAGCCCTTCACAACAAGCAGTGGGCACTAAAACCCAAACAGGCTGTAGCTCAGAAGACCTTGCCCTCTGACTGGCAGCAAGCAGTGAGAGACACCAAACCGCAGATGACCACTGGCAGCAATGACACATCAAGAGAATTGTGGCCAGCAGGTCGAGGGAGGTGATTCTCCCCCTCTACTCTGCTCTGGTGAGACCCCACCTGGAGTACTGCATCCAGTTCTGGAGCCCCCATTACAAGAGGGATGTGGACCTGCTGGAGCGTGTCCAGAGAAGGGCCACCAGAATGATCCGTGGGCTGGAGCAGCTCTCCTGTGAGGACAGACTGAGAGAGTTGGGGCTGTTCAGTCTGGAGAAGAGAAGGCTCCGAGGTGACCTTATTGTGGCCTTCCAGTATCTTAGGGGGGCCTACAGGAAAGCTGGGGAGGGACTTTTTAGGATCTCAAGTAACAACAGAACTAGAGGGAATGGGGCAAAGCTGGAAGTGGGCAGATTCAGGCTGGATGTGAGGAAGAAGTTCTTCCCCATGAGAGTGGTGAGACCCTGGAATGGGTTGCCCAGGGGGGTGGTTGAGGCCCCATCCCTGGGGGTCTTTAAGGCCAGGCTGGATGAGGCTCTGGGCAGCCTGATCTAGTGGGAGGTGGCCCTGCTCATGGCAGAGGGGTTGGAACTGGGTGATCCTTGTGGTCCCTTCCATCCCTGACAGATTCTGATCTGTCTTAGCAGAGGACTTTAGAGCCCTAATGGCTCAATGGTTGGACTTGATGATCTTGGAGGTCCCTTCCAACCTAAAGGATTCTATGATTCTATGATTCTAACTTGGCACATGGATGAACAGAGAATTTCTCCCACTGTTACCTTCCTTGGAAGCACATTTTCCCTGTCGTATTCAGTGGTTTCAGCAGAGGGCAGCCAAAGTACATCTAACAACCTCGTCAGGAAGGCAGAGTTTTGTTTTAAATTAGAGCATCTTCTAAAGACTGACACAGAGTAAATTGGAGAAAAGCACAGACGTCAGACTAGACTAAACCTTTTATGAAGATTTGGGGCCCCTGCCGTTCACAAGGGGGGCTGGATTCTATCCTTCCTTTATTTACTACAGCACTTTTCATGTATAATGCATATTTTATTGAATTTTCATGCAAAAACATATGGTACATACTGAAAATACTAAGCAGAGAACAACTCCAGATGGTATGCAGAAAAGGCATACAATAGAATGAGGATACCTTGCTGGATTAGGGTATCTCTCTTATTCAGTACTAAACCACCACGTACCATTTCACATTAACTGATCCTTTCTAGGAAGGAAATAGATACATTCTATTACCCCCATTTTTTGGCTCAGGAAAGAAAAGCAAAACCAAAGAAAGTAATTTACACAGCCTGAGCAGAAACAGTGTGTCTGCTCCTCTCTCAGGGAACACGATGCAGCTCAGCTTGTCAATGGATAAAGTATTCTGTCAGTATATGACAAATATTATCAATACAGGAAGTATAGACTGTACTGACAGCCTTTCAGTGTTGCTTTTATATTGCAGTAGTGTCTACTAACTCAAACCTTTGGTATAGGCTGATGGTTACCAGACAAAGAACTAGGAGACTAAAAGCCACAATTGCCCACAATGACATGAGAACCATGGCTGAAGGCTATGCAAGGAGCTGTGCTTCAGTATTTTTGAATAGCTAAAACTGAAGACAGGAGGATGATTTTTATCATACTTGTTTTGCAGAAGAGGATCCAAGGGCTACCTGATTTTACATGGAAATCAGTAGCAGAGGCTGGAAATGAACTGTGATCACACTCAAACTTCAGGCCTTTGTGGAAAAAATTTTCCTTCTCCATGACTACATGGGTGCTCCACTCTTTGATCCAAATGTATGCTGTGTTGAGTATTCATTTTTTTTTCCTGCTAATTTTACATCTCCCCCTCACAACTTTCCTCTGTCCTTTATATACTGCTGTCCTGCAACATGTTATATTCTGGGTCAACATCTAAGTCTTGTCCCTGCAATCCCTCCTTGATTTCATGACCAGGTTGGTTGAGAGAAGAGTTCAGGCTCAGAGTAAATGAGTGGTGGAGTCATGAGCACACAGTGATGTGTTCGATTCTCTGAGCCATGCTCTTTCCACTGGGCCTTTCTGTCTCTCTCATAATCCCTCTACTTACTTCTGGAGTCAATAATTAAGATAATTATATGGTAACCTGATATAATAAGTAGCCACTAAATCAAACCATACATCAACAAATAATATAACACTAAATTATGTGAGCTTTGATTTGCTCTTTCAAATAGCTTCTATACCTTCAGGGGATTGATTAGCAGTATAGAAAACAAAACAAAGGTGCAAAACCAGCTGATTTTCCTTACAAGAAAATTCCTTTTGCTTACATAAAGAAAAAGGGATTGGTCAAGTGTCAACACAGTGAACTCTGCTATCGTGAGCAGGGCAGATGCATCAGCCGTTTCCTACATCTGATGCAACTTAATTATTGGCACTTCCATGCTTTTAACATCAAAGTAGCTGGACCTAATTTAGTAGTTGTTTGCAAGGTCTGACCTACAGCTGTGTAAAGTACACACCAGACAAGTACCTCTATTTAGGAAGGACAGTTTGTTGGTTTTTTTTTCCACTTTCAAAGAAAATATTTTTCATTTGTTTTTCCACTCCCTCCCTTCTAAATATTCCTTTAGCCAAGCACATTTCAAAGGAGCTTAAATATGCTTTTCTCCCTAAATGTCACTATTTATATCTTTCAGCTGCTGGCAGGTTTGATGGGGTGGGTGGTGGTGGTGTGCAAAGGTGCCACTTTAACCTCCTGGAAAAAAAAAAAAAAAAAAAAAGGTTTGCATTGCCTTTTACTCAAGATTGGATGTTTTTTTTCATTAAGAACGAGATTCCTTTCTGTAATGAAATGTGGGGGGGGAAAGGAGGCACCACATTACATGTAATAAAACATCCTATATTTTAATTTTGCAGCCACTGCTTCGCACAGCAGTTTATCTTGTGCTTTGCAAGATACCACTTGTGTTATCTTTTCCTGTTGATGTGGAAGTGAAATGGTCATGTAACGTCGTGGCATTTCTCTGCGTGCATGTTTCCCCAGTTTGATTTCTGAGGTGTGGCAGTGTACCCTCACCTATCCCAGATTGTTTAATCACTCCTGAGGTCCAAAAAGCATCTACTTTGGCCACAAACTCTCCTTTATGACTGACAGAAAATCCCAAGCCTCTATTCCTTAGAAAAAGGTAGAAATCAATTCTTCACCCCACAGAGCACCCTGAAGTGAAATACCAGCAACGATTAAAAAATTGCCTATGTGCTACAAGGATGATGTGTGTTTTAATCCCTGTATGAATTCCAAAAGAGATAACTGCCTTTGGATCCACCTCTGCTTTTCGGTATTGGCTTCGGTGTTTTACAGGCAGGCAAATTTAGTTTTTGCCACCACCCTCAGTTACCTTTTAATTCCTCAATGAACACCAAGGGAATCCAAGTGCTGACAGGAGCGGTCTGGCAAACCTTTCTGCTGCAGTTTGAGATGTTACTGTTCCCAGTTGCTCGTTCCTCTTTGCTGGCTATGGTTAGCGACACCGGAGCCAAGTCAGCAGAAGGGAACATATGCCTGCACCTCAGTTGCTTCCATACAACGTCCAGCATGAACTCATCTTCAGCAACAGTCTAAGATGAGATACTAACTTTTTCCCCAAAGTAGCTGATGAGTGAGGCACAGATCCTTCTCTACCATCTCTGTTTCGGGAATAGTAATCCAAGTACACATCAGTGAATAAGAGATTTCCTCCTATCCTATTGGTCGTAGTCTGGTGGTGCTCAGCAGCCAGAAATGAAAAAAATCAAAAAAGATTTTGTGTAGCTGACAGCGTGTGACGTGCACCTGAAATCGATTTGGAAGCAGCAGAGGCTGCAGAGACCACATTCCTCATAGGTAGCACTGCTGAGTCATGGCCTGAGACTGTGGTTTCTGAAAAATTGCCATCCAAATCAAATGCCTCATGGGCAGGTGTGACTGTGACAAAGTTCATGTCAGAGAGATGACGTGCAGATCTGCTCAAGTGCAGACGCAGATCGATGAGTTATCCATGTGTGCATAGCTACACAGCCCACATTGGCTCTCCCCCAAAATGTAGGCTTTGGATAGCAATAGGATAGGAGGCGGTGAGTCAAAAACAAACCAGCATCATCCCCAATGACTCTCATCACCTCGTTTTCAAATTGCCAAAAGAGCTATTCAGGCCATAGCCATAGTTAGGA